AAAAGAAAGAAAGCGTGATGTAAATCAATTTCCCCCGCCTCGCGGTCAAGTTAAGAAACAAGGGCAAGTAACTCAAACAGCGTGTGAAAAAGCTGAGCAGGAACGGATTGTATTTATCAAGTCTCAGAAAGGATTTATTAGTCTCAAGATGAATAGCATTTTATCAACGGCAAAATCACTTTGTGTACCACATTATATCACCAACATTTTATTATGTGTTATTTATATTTTCTTAAGACAGTTCAACCTTTTTGCACAATATTATTTAACGATTGCCAATTGGAGTTGGTGAGTAAGCGAATATTTCTTTGATTTGTTTTGCTGTTAGTGTTTTAAAGTTTAAAAAGCTTCTTTTTTTTTTAAGTATATAAAAATATTTATGCTGTTTTATATTGGAAGTAAAATTTTAATAATCTATAAAAATAAATAATCAATTTGAAAGTATAAAGAGACTGACTTTAAAAATAGGAAAAAGAATTATTGAGTATAGGATTTAAGATAAGCTGTGTGTTACTTCGTGTAACCTTGTTATAAAAAAGGGGGGTGAAAATAAAACTGGAAAACCCAATGCGAAATTTTGAATATATACACAAATAAAGGGATACTGAAAAAGTTCTCATCCTGACTATTGTTATTATGTAAGTGGCATGGCCGGTCCTAGCCAACTAGCAGCTCCTGACAACAGTACTCCATTCGTGGCCTGATCTGGCTTTTATAAAAGTAGAGGGTAGCATGAGGAGTCGGTTACTTACTGCAGCGGGATAGGAAGCCGATCATTTTACCTGCATCGGGGTCTGATTGGCGGTGATGGAATGTAACCAGTTTGGTTTTCGAGGCATTGAATGTAACCAGCCCGTTCTTTCCCCACTGGAATGTTAGTGTTAGATCAGAAGAGAGGTCAGATGCCAATCTCAGATCGTCAAAAGATTTAGAGTTATGCCCGTGTATCATCGACATAGAAGTTTACAAATGATCGGAGTTAGGTTTAGGTAGACCATTTATGAAAATCAGAAAGACGGTTGGTCCCGAGAAGTGACGCCTGTGGGACGGCTACGTTGCCCACTCTGGCCTCGGAGGGTTGGCCGATGTTAACTACCTTCGGGGATCTACCTGTTAAGAAGGATTTAATTATAGAGAAAACCCTTCCAGTGATTTCATAGATGGAGAGCTTGTGTGGCAAACCTTTGTGGCAAACCTTCTCGAAGACCTTCGAGATATCTAATGCTATGGTGTGTCGTCAAGTGCCTTATTAATTCTATGTATAATGGTAGTTAGGACATCAGCAGTGGATCAGGATGATCGAAACCCATATTGCTCTTCTCATAAGAGGTTGTTCCTATCCAGGTGCTCGACGACCTTCTTGTTGATTAAGGACTCAAAAAATTACTGATGATATTGAGGAGACTACTGATTCTATACTGGGAGGGAGAGAATCGCTTGTCCTCGTTCTTCAAGACCGGGCACACGCTTGACATCTTCAACATGCTTTGGGAAGATTTCTCCTTCAGGCAGCGGATAAGTAACTTTGCTAGACTCGGGAATAATTCTGGTTGATATTCTTAAGGACGACCACTGAAATTTTGTCCGGGCCAGTGGCTTTTTTTTGGGATCGAGGCTTTGATAAATCTACAGACTTCTCTTGATGAAAGGAGCATATTACTGAGATTGTGCTGAGTGGGAGGAGGGAATTTGGAGAGGGATGGTCTTTGTCATCTAACGTTGAGTTTGAGGCAAAGATTGAGGCGAAGAGCTTCGCCTTGTCTGTCGAGGAAGATATGACTTAAGGACCATTTATTATCATGGGCACAACTCATTTGCTTCCCTTCATAATTTTTGGTTGGTGATCTTCTAGAATTCGCATAATCCAATCTTTTTATTTTCAACTTTAGCCTGGACAGATCGCGTGTAGATGCTTTTTGCGTTTTCCAGGATTCTCTTACAGCCATTGCAATGTTCGCATAAACCGATGACGGGTCCATGACTATGTCTACATGAAAAAAATCTATGGATCGATGAAAATATCCGCGCAACAAAATAAATGAAGCAACGTAAATTTCTGCGCAAAAACGAGCAACGGAACATGGTAACATTTGCAAAGCAAAATCTATGGAGCCATGATAACCTGGTCTTGAAAATAACTTCCCAGCCAAATCAACAGTAATGAGAATGACTGCACTAAATATTTATTGAGCCATGACATTGTTTAAACAACTAATTCTATGGAGCCACGCTAATTTCCGCGCATAAGATAACTACAAAATTTGCATGACAATCTCTCTGGAGTCATGTTAATTTAAAACAATCTCCACAAGAAGAAAAAGCACTGCACAACGAAATCTATAGGGGTCATGACAAAGTCTGCGCAAATAGATCTACGGAGCGATGACTATTTTTGCACAACAAAATTTATGAAGCCATGTCAGTGACTAGGCAAACAAATCTACCGAGTCCAGAAAACGTCTAAAAAAATCTAATTTAACTGCACAACAAAATTTATGGAGCCATCAAAATTTTCTCAAAACAAATTCTTTGGTGCCACGTTAATATACGCGCAGAAATCTACAGTCTACACAAAATAAATCTATGCCGATATGACAATGTTTGAATAATAAAATCTATGGAGCTATGACAATGTCCACAAATCTCTGCAGTCAATTATAATATGTGTCTAATAATTGTACAAATAAATTTATGGAGCCATGACTAAGCACAATAAAATCAATGGAGCCATGAGAATATCTGCGTAAATATCTACGGAATCGTGACAATGTCTGCACATCAATATCTATGGAGTCATGATAACGCTATGATAATAGCACCACAAAATCTATTAATCCATATAAATATATGCGTAAAGAGATCTACAGACTATGACTATACAATATGTCATGATAATAGATCTACAGAACCATGACAATGTCACCACAATAAAAAATTTATGGACCAATGACAATTTTTGCAAAAAGAAGGAACATGGAAGCATGAAAATGACTGCGCAAATAAATCTACAGCATCTTAACAATGGCTGCGTAACAAATCCAGGGAGCTCAAGTAATGGCTGCGTAAAAAGAAATTATAGCCATGACAGTGTCTGCACAACAAATTATGCGGAGCCATGACTAAGTTTACAGAACAAAATCTATGGAGCCATGATGATATCCACGTAACAAAATATATGGAGCCAATTTAGTATTTCTGCAAATAAATCTACAATGTTTACACAACAAATTCCTGGAGCCATGACAATGTCCACGCCAAGAAATCTATGATACCATGATAAGTTCTACGTATCTCCAGATATATAATTCTGTATAAAAAAAAGTCTATGGAGCCATGAAAATATCTGCGCGAATAGATCTATAGATCTATGAAGATGTCTGCACAACACAATCAATGGAGCCCAGATGGGAACTGCGCAAAAACATCTCAATGTCTGTACAGTAAAATCAATGGAGCCAATATAATGTCGTCACAAATAAGTCGACGGTGTCTCCACAACAAATTAACATCCGAGCAGAACAATTTACAATATGATAACAATGTCGGCGAAATTAATCTAAGAAACCAATATATCTGCGCAAATTGATCTGCAAATCCATAATAACTGCGCATCAAAACCTACTTGGGAGATATGACAATGTATGCACATCAATGCTTGATGAGGCAGTGATAATGGTGGAGTCATGATGACTTTTGCACAAAATGGTCTACACAGTCAAGATAATAACGTAACAACAAAATCTATTGAGACATGATAATGTCCTCCCCATAATATCTAATGAATAAAACTTCCGGAGACATCATAATAGTTTTACCATAAAATTTACTGAGCCATTACAAATAAGGGTTTATAACAATTCATCAAATGTAATCGTGTGCTTGTAAATTCCCACACCCACGCGACTCCGTGCACAATCGACAAAATGTCAAACAATTATTTTCTAAACGCAATTGACAAATGACGTATGCAATCTTTTTTTTTTCTTCTTTTTCAAAATCACAATTTTCTCCACCCAAGAGGGTCAAGCCTGAAATCACCAGGTGTTAAGAAAAAAGAAGCAGAAGTAATACAAAATCATCTCCGCACATTATTTAAACATCCTGTATTACTTAATGCTCGGACCCTTGGCGTATTCTATGCCTCTGAAGAGACGTACTTTGCTTATGGGCACTTAACTAAATAAGGGCATCTGTAGGTTTGCCGTCATTTGCTTGCATAGTTCAAGGGTTGATTTCGAATTTGTTGGAACAGAAGAATTAAATCACCCATTTTGTATCTTTGTAGAGTATTAGACTGTTAAGTAATCTAAAATTTAGTTCCAATATATTCAGTCGGTCGCAACTCGTTACCATAACTAGTAAGAGAAACGAAAACTGTATCTGCCTTGAATCGAAGTACGTTAAATATAGGTATGAAGTTCCATTCAGACAGTTTTTTACTAAAGAACGTCTAAAAAGGCTTCACCAATCACTTGAAAACAGACTTATACCTCGACTGTCGTTGCATGTTAATTTTAAACTTTTACAACAGCGAATTTAAAATCGCGTCGACTCAGTTCTGAGGTGCAAGTGTACCCAAGCAGACAATATCAGTTGTTGTATCTCTGTAGCAAGCTTTTCACCTCCACGGAGAAAAACTATTTGAATAAAAGATATGAATTACAAGTCTCGAATGAAAACTAAGATTTATGTGCCTTACAGATTAAGTACGGAGATATGGTATTTCACTTTTCAAACGCAAAGTGTTTATCGACAAAATAAAAATCCATTTAAATTCTCTGACTCACAACATGTCCTTGTGTTTGTTATTCGTTCCTCAGTTCAAAATATAGAAGTGGATTTCTTAAAAGCTACTCTTTAAAAAACCAACTTAGTACTTTCTCTAAACAGTAAGTAATTTTGAGAGGAGGGAATTATTTTGGGGAGGTGAAGCGTTGTTTTATGGTAAAAAATGCTTTCGTAGTTGATTTTTTTCCTCTTTAATATCTCTTTCTTTTTAGGTACTTCGTCTTCTCCCGGCTTTCTTTCTCTTCTTCTGTAAGATAAAAAATACCTCCTTCTCTCTCTCTCTCTCTCTTCTATATATATATATATATATATATATATATATATATATATATATATATATATATATATATATATCTCTCTCTCTCTCTATATATATATATATATATATATATATATAGAGAGAGAGAGAGAGAGGATATGCGGGTGGTGTAATAGATAGCGGTTCGGAATAATAAATCGGAGATCTCGGTTCGAATTCCAGTCGGCTTTATTGCATTCACTTATTCGCAAATACCCTTGAAAAATGTATGAATCCATGTACTCCCCCAAGCTAAGGTTTAAATAGTGGAATTTGAAAGTGGAAAAATTATTCTTACTTTCCAAAAATTGTTAACGCAATATTCACTCGCCAAAAAATCATTCTTACATTCAAAAATATGCTTCGGTTTTAAATAATCCACAAAGGGTTGATAAGTAGTAAAAAAAAAAACAAATAAAGCAATCCTTAATTCGATTCCTATTAAAAGTAGAATTTTTTATTTTCTATTTATCTTTCTTTATGCGAATGTTTTTTTTTACATCTTTTTTCTCTTCACTCATCCCAATATTTTCCTAGTTTCTCTCTCTGATTTTGCTCCACTTTTTCTGTTATCTCTCTCTCTGTCTCTCTCTCTCTCTGTCTTCTTTGATCTTTTCTCGCCTCCTCTTTTCACGCTACTGTCTCTGCTTCTCTTATTTCTCATTCTCTTTCTCTTCCTTACTCTTTTTCTCTTTTCTATCAATCTTTTGCCCCTTCCTCTCATTCCCTTTCTCTTCCCTTCTCCTTTTTCTTTTCTCTTTCAAACTTTTTATCCTACCTACCCTTCTTTTTCTTTTCTCTTCTCTTTTTTCTCATTCTCTTTCCCTTCCTTATTCTATTTTCTCTTCTTTCTCTCTCTATATTTCTATATTATTCCTCTCTTTATTCTCTTTATCTTCCTTACACGGTGTTTCCTTCTCTCTCGCTCTCTTCTTTTTCATTTAAGTCTCATTCCCTTCTATCTATCTATCTATCTATCTATCTATCTATCTCAGTCTGTTTTCTATCTATCTATCTATCTCAGTCTGTTTTCTATCTATCTATCTATCTATCTATCTATCTATCTATCTTCTACTCTTTTTCTCTTCTTTTACTCACTCACATTTACGTTTAGTTTTGTAAAGTGTACGTAATTCTTTCTGTTTTTATTTTGATCAGTAATTTCAGGAAATAACAAAGTGTCCTCATTTTCTCAACAAATATTCTGAAACAATTTGTTTTCATGTTTTTTTATTCTTTCTCAGCCTGTTCATATCTTTTTTATTAATCATTTCACCCCAAGCAGGTCAATAAAGACGGAGTTATTGAGTGTGAGAGAATATGTAAAGAGAAAACATTATTTAGAAGAAAGAATAATAAAACATTATGATTTAAGATAACAGAAGATAATGATTGATACTGCATTTAAATTTTGGAAGGTTAAAATTGACAGAAAGAGAAGAGGCTGGAGGAGGGTTCCAAACGTGTGAGAGAAGAAACTCTCAGTATAGAACCTACGGTTACATCTAGCCATTCCAACTGTAAGATGATAAGGTCTTGCCTCCGATCTAGTACTGCGCTTAAATTCATAGAGTCGAGATATCTAAGAGGAAAGCTCATTAAAACGATTGCTATGAACAGATGTATAAAAAGTCTATGGAGCCATGCAAATATCTGCGCAAATAGGTCGACGGTGTCTCCGCAAGCAAATAACATCCTCGCAGAAAAATCTGCAATGTGATAACAATGTCGGCGAAATTAATCTAAGAAACCAATATATCTGCGCAAATTGATCAGCAAATCCATAATAACTGCGCATCAAAACCTACTTGGGAGATATGACAATGTATGCACATCAATGCTTGATGAGGCCGTGATAATGGTGGAGTCATGATAACTTCAGCACAAAATGGTCTACACAGTCTAGATAATAACGTAACAACAAAATCTATTGAGACATGATAATGTCCTCCCCTAAATATCTAATGAATAAAACTTCCGGAGACATCATAATAGTTTTACCATAAAATTTACTGAGCCATTACAAATCGGGGTTTATAACAATTCATCAAATGTAATCGTGTGCTTGTAAATTTCTACACCCACGCGACTCCGTGCACAATCGACAAAATGTCAAACAATTATTTTCTAAACGCAATTGACAAATGACGTATGCAATCTTTGTTGTTTTTTTTTTCTTCTTTTTCAAAATCACAGTTTTCTCCACCCAAGAAGGTCAAGCCTGAAATCACCAGGTGTTAAGAAAAAAGAAGCAGAAGTAATACAAAAGCATCCCCCCCACATTATTTATACATCCTGTATTACTTAACACTCGGACCCTTGGCCTATTTTATGCATCTGAAGAGGCGTACTTTGATTATAGGCACTTAACAAAATGATATTGCAATTTAATTTTTGAAGGTCAAAATTGACTGAAAAGTAAGAGGCTGGAGGTGAGTTCGAAACATGTGAGAGAAGAAACTTTTAGCATAGAACCTACGGTTATAGTCTAGGCATTTCAACTGTAAGATGATGAGACCTTGCCACCGATCTAGTACTGCGCTTAAATTGATAGAGTCGAAATACCAAAGAGAAAAGCTCATCAAACATTACCATGAACATATGTATAGAAAAAGGTACAGGGAAGCTATGTTAGGGAGAAGGGAAAGTGACTGAAGCCGAGATGGCATGTCATGACCAGTAACATTACTAATTCATCTTATATTATCAAGAATCTCCAAATATATAGCAGAATCACCTGAACAGATATGACAGTAATATCCAATGGAAAGGCGAATGGTTGACTTATAAATGTATAAGAGAAATTCTGGCGTAAAGAATTATCTAGCACGACACAACCAACTTTCCGAGCAGCAAACCTTAATCTTTCCAATTCATGTCAGTCACGCTTCTGGTGGTTAGCATCAGTCATGTCAGTTTATTCATATGTACGATAGACTACTAAACTGTTCTCCATCAAACCCAGAAACATTTCTAAAAGGATCGCTTCTATCTGATAGAATAAGGTATATAAATATAGCATTGACGTAATTTTCCAAGTGAAAAGTGGTGGCTTATCTCTTGGACTGCCAACTTTGAAAATCATAATTCAAAATTCTAGGTTTGTATCTATATTCGAGCACTGTTTTTTATGTGCCAGGATTTGGGGGATCATTGCTCTCCACAACTTCTTATCCTTTGTGGCTCTAAGCAATTTTTTTTCTTTTTGCTATCCCTTTTAATCCCTATTCTAACATTCATTTACACAAGCTTCTTTGGTAGGTTACTCTGACTGTCCATCTTTCCTTCAGTATATTCCTTTGTATGTTGAATTCTCCAAGTCCTCTTTTCTCATTCTGTCTCTGAAATTTCAACTCTTTATATCTGAATCTAAATACGTATTTTTTGTTTCCACTTTCCTTAGACTGTCCATAGTTTTCCCATCATTCTTTTTGGAATCACATCTCTGCTAAGCCAAATCTCCTCTTTATCTATGAGGAAATTATCCAAATACCCAAATCTCCTTTTTATCTACGAGGAAATTATCCAAATACCCAAATCTCCTCTTTATCTATGAGGAAATTATCCAAATACCCAAATCTCCTTTTTATCTGAGGAAATTATCCAGCATTCATATAGGAGGGTTGATATTACATCGCTGTTCAGCGTTCTTTTCTTCGTTTCAAACGAAATTTTCCTGTTTCATAATACTTTGTTTAGCTTGTAGAAGGCATCTTCCTTTATTCGAATGCTCCTTCGGATTTCTTTGTTATATTTTCTGTCACACTGTTAAAGCGTTTCCCAGATAATTAAATTTCTGTATTTGTTTGGCACAAAGGTCAATATGCCGCTAAACTAAAACAACGAAACTAAACCGTACTTTTTTTATTCTAATATCTCCAATTCCTTGCTCGCATCTTGAGCTGCACCGTTTGTTGAGGGCCATACAGTCTTCTTAAAATTGATATTTAGTTCTTTCTGCTTGTTCGAGCGCTGCTACTAAAAATAAACAATTCTATAATTTACAAAGCAGGCAACGCTTGATGGTTAAAGCGGTTGAAGAGTATTTAACTTTGTCTATAGTGATAGATGCCCAGATGAAAAGACAAGATTGCAGAATTAGCCATCGCCACTTAAAAGGTGTGAGTAATACAATCATTCCTCCATCTTTTCTTTATCCATTTAGTCTCTTTAGAGTACTACGTTTATCAACGTTTATTTTCTTACCTACTCGTCATTCTTCCTTTCTCTCTCTCTCCCCTTTCGTCTTTGTTTAAACTAACCGGAACTATGTCAAGTGTACTTCCTGTCAATACCATTTCTCATTTCAAAATGGCCGCTAAGCACACATACGTATACATAACAAATAAAGTTTCATTAAAAACGACTGACAAAATACTGCGTTTAACCTTTTTATTTAATTTTTCTTGTGTCCGTATAAGTTTTTTTTTTTTTTTTGATTCTGGACATAAGTTTTGTAAAAATTATCCGAATGTTTTGTATGACGTATATGCATAGCAGTTTAAGAATAATTTTGAATTGAACTCGCATATAAAAATATTCAACGCAAAATGCAAGGATAAAATTCCACAGTCTACCACGAAAACTGAGGCCCATGGAAGTAAATTAATGTTGAATATGTATGGCAGTTTAAGAATAACTTTGGAGTGCACTCGCTTACGAAAATTTTGAAGGCAAAAGACAAAGATAAAATTCCACTGCCAACCACAAAAACGGAGTCCTATGCAAGAAAGTTAATGACGTATATGTATGGCAGTTTAAGAATGATTTTGAATTGAACTCGCATACAAAAATGTTCAACGCAAAAGGCAAGGATAAAATTGCACAGCCTAACACAAAAACTGACTTCCATGGAAGAAAGTTAATGTTTTATATGTGGTGGGATCGTTGAAGTGTTATTCATTTAGAATTCTTAAAACGGGATAATGCAATAAATTCACACTTATAAGCCCAGCATCTGCAACGTTTCCATAAATGTCTGGTCGAAAGATTTGTTCTCCCCCATGAAAACACTAGACCGCAGGTAGCAAGAGTGATAAAGGAAAGAAAAATTTAAAACTCGCTGGACCTTTTTCACCCAACCCGCTGTATTCACACTTGATCTTGTACAAATTTATTATTACATTTTGCCCGATCGTTGCAAAATGCTTTGATGAGGAAGACTTACTTTAATAAAAATCAGATTCAAGATTTTGTTGAAAAAGTCTCGTATCAAAATTTGCTGAATTTTACTCAAAAGCAGGAACCGCTACAACAAATGCGATACTTAAAGTTTAAAATGAATTTTTAAAAATGAAAGATCTTCCTTGTAGACTTTATTTTAGTCTTAATTTCGAGCTAATTGTTAACATTTAATATTTCCATTAAGCAAAATACTTTGTTGTACTTTAAAATATCTTTTTTTGCTAAAATAGCTTATTAGCTCCCCTCTTTAGTCGTCTTTTATCGCAATGTAATTCTCTTTATTAAAAAAAAATCTTCCTAAAATAAAATATACTTTTCTGAAACTTTATTTGAGGAATATTAACTGATTTAAAGCATAATTAATCTGATTCGAAACAAATATTATTTACTTTATACTTAAAATATTACAGAAATAAATTTTGAACCTTTCAGTAGCTGTGATTTTAACCGATAGCTGTGTTGATGTGTTTTGATAACTTGATGACAGATCTAATGTTCTACGGGAAAAAGTAGAACACATTTTTAATTTATTTTTAAGTACTCTAATCTTAAAAATTTATGAAAAAAATTTTCTCTGTAAGCTAACGTTTTATTGAATTTTAGAAATGTTGACATTTTCCCTATAGTCATGTCTCTTATTTTCTGATAATGTCGTGTATGGTCACCCATAGTTACAAATAAGCACACAGTATTAAAAAAATTCAAAATCATTTTTAAAATATTGATGTTTGATGATTTGTATTAAGCATTTTAACTTAATAATAATATCATCAAAACTGATGAAATTAATACAGAATTTTAGAAGTTAACATACTTTTCTAATTAAAATTTTTAACAAAGTGAAAACAATTCTTGTAAAAATCAATTATTTGTCAAAAACAGTAGTGTCCTTAATATATCTTATATATAAAAGCAAATTAAAAGCTTTTCTAAATAATGTCAGTTTTATTTCATTTTTTATTTTATGATTGAGAGCAGATTTTCTGTAAATGATGTTTCTGTTTGACAAAACCAAATTGATGGTTTAAATTCTCCAAAGAGTCCTGCATTAACTAATATAAATACGAGGACACTGGAATTTTAATTTCTCGAAATTTCATAGAATTAAGTAAGTGGGTGGAACAAATGTAAAAAAATATTTTTTACCAAAATTTTCTAAAAAAAATATTTAAAAAATAATTCCATTCATTTCTAAAAATTTCATTAAAATCCGACAATTATTTGATTTTGCAAGAATTTTCAAAGCAATGTGATTTTTACGGCAAAAAAAAAGACGCTAATTTTCCAATACTAATCTTTGCCCACTTGACGCAAGAAAAACAATATTTTAACCAAAGTTTCAAAGCGTTAGGAAGAATTAAAAAAATTAAGAAAAATAATAAAAAATACTTTGGTTTTTGGGGTTTTTTTCTCTTAATAATAAAATGAACCTTGTTTTTATGAAGTTTGGGGCCTTTTTCATCATGGTGTGCTCTTGTTTGAAAAATCTTTGAAGGCATCAACTCAAACTGTATTGAAAAGCTGCTTGTTAACTGGCAAGATGCCATTGCTATTAATGGTAAATAGAGAATTGAAAAAAAGTAATTGAACTATTTTCTTTGAAAATAAAGTTGATAAAGGAAAGCGAAAATTATTTATAACTAAACCACGAGTTACTTGTATAAATTAATTAACAGAAGATACAGCCCAAGGCGGGTGTTAAGCATTGTATCAAAATTCAAGCAGGTTCCGAAATTTCCCTATCTGGGTGGTACAGTAACGAGAAAAGCATCTGATACAGATGTGGTTGATTTTTGACGTTAACCCTTTTCTTACTATTTCATGACTGTTGTATCAGACACTCAGTGTGGATCTCAATCAGTTCTCGCGATCAAACGGACGAGTCTCAATAAGAATTTTCCAACGCCGATAGACTAGCTTCAATAAGTATAGTTATGTTTGAGCGTGTTTTCCATTTGTACAACAAATCAATGTTCAAGATCAATTAATAAACCCGGACTTTACAGAGTACATAATGAAGGAAGAGGATTTGGAAAACAGAAACTCACAGATTGAGGGCAAGAGGGATAGAGGAAAGCAACGCGTAACCTATTTGATTAGTTTGAGCAAATAGATGGCGGAACAAGGCTTAGCAAAATAGCAAAAAGGCAAAATTTATTGAGAGCGACGAAAGACGGGAAATTGTGGAGAGCCATGATCACCTACGTTCGGAGGGGACACGATACAAATAAGAAAATGATATTAACCGTTTTCTCATATGGAAACTTCCGGTAATTATTGTGCTATCAGCTACTGTTAATTTGGTTTGAATTTTATAAAATCTTTCTATTAAAACAATTTTTCAGTTTCTCAAATTCACTAGCTGTTATTGTTCTTTTCAGTATTGATGGGAGTTGTGTGGAATGGCAATATTTTGATTACGCCATTATAATTCCCTTTCAGTTTTATGCATTATGAACTTTAGTTTTTGCCATTATTGAAAGTCTTTAAGTAATGTCATTTCCGTAATATAGTACAGTTTATTACTTGTGATTGTGTAGCGCCATTACCCAGTGTTTGAAGAAGGATGGTCCTAGCAAAGAGCTACATACTTCATTCGTTCGAAGCCACTCGATATGAGAAGGCGGTGTAATAAAGTTTTTTTTTTATCTGTGATTGTGTAGCGCCAGTTCACAATATTTGAGGAAGGATGGTCTTCGCAAAGAGCTACATTCGTTCGAAGCCAATCGATCTGAGGAGGCGGTGTAATACAGTTTCGATATGTCTAAACGAGATAGACATGATCATAACATCAGGGTGATGAGCGCAACACGATTTTTTCACCTTATTTAGCCTTTAAGATTTACTTAGTTAAATATATAGATGCTACAGTTATGTATAAATTTGGCCCGAAGATTTCGCGTTGTAACCGATTTTTATGTATATTTACAGTATATAGGAGGATATTGCGGGTGGCTTAATGGTTACAGAATAAAAAAAAAAGAAAATCAAGAAATCGTGTTCCAAGTCTGTTGGAGTTCATTTTCATCCACATAAATTCATGTCTTTCTTTAAACGCAGCTATGAATTAAATAGAAGGAGAGACAGTGATCTATAGCATTGGATAGCAGATAGCCTAGAAAGAATGTTTTAGCTTAAAACCTTGAAAAGGATACAGGAAACAAATCAAGTATATTTCTTAAGAATATGTGACAATTCACTGAATAATAAAGAGAGAGAAACTGCGAAAAGCCATGATCGCCCATGTCTTTAGGGTAGATTTGGTTTGCTTTACGGCATATCAACCTCAATGGATTATTTAATTCCGACAAAAAATTTTATAGCTGGTAATTTTTTTTTTCAAGAATGTATTACTGGAAATAATGTATTTCTGGTAATAATTTTTTACAAAAAAGTATTTCTGATATTAAAACCTATTTTTACACTTTCATAGTGTTTTGACCCGAGTGTAGAGGTTAACCCATAGCTCGGACCCTAACAGGTGCTACCACCCCAGGTTAGGGTGGACCTGGCAAAAACCATCAATTAAGAGGTGGTTCTACCCTCCTTAAAATCTCTTGATCAGATGCCTTGCTGTTGGACGTAGTTTATCGTCTTACCCAGGACGTGAATGTAGGTCTTTAGGGTAGAAAGATTACTTTGAATTTAAAACTGGATAGAAGACAATGGGAAAACACTCCACTATCTTTCACAAAAAGGCATAATAATTCACAGATAAGAAAAGGAAGGTGTGGAGAGCCATGATCGATTAGCTTGAATTCATAACCGTAGAGAAAACAACTACTGTCTTTCTCAAGAAGCCGTAAAATAAAGAAAAGTAAACTGTAAATAGCCATGAATACTTATATCTTTAAGGGAAAAAGACGTCTCTGAATTCAAAAGTAATATTCAATAGGAAACCGCTTCATTATCTTTAAGATGTCAAGACTATTCAGAGATAGAAAAATGAATCTGTGGAGGGCTATGACCGTCCATGCCCTGAAGGGTCATGATACTAGAACTTGTTATTATTTACGAAAAGAAACCAACAACAATTTACCATAACCACATGTAAAATTTCCTGATTAATCAACAATT